CACCAAACCATGTCCCAACCTCAACACTTGCACACTTTCTGCGACAAATTATCCAAAAACTTCTCAGAAACTAGCCCATACAAATCAAACCGTGAAACCCTACTTTCATTTCTCCGCGATCATTCCTCTCTCGGAACCTATTCCAACGCCACAATCGGTCTCAGCCCCGACACAGTACATGGCATGTTCCTTTGTAGAGGAGACATCACCAAAACATCTTGTTCGGACTGTGTCAAGACTGCAACCCTAGAGATCACTAAAAACAACTGCACTTATCAAAAGAATGCTATAATATTCTACGAGGAGTGTATGGTTCGATACTCCAATTTTTCTTTCTTCAGCCTCGTCGAAAACGGGCCATACATTGCTAAATACTCTCTCGCTTCTTTTCCAAATTCTGTTTTTAGTACGTTCAGAGAAACATTATCCAAGAAAGTAGAGCAACTAATTATCCTCACGGCATCAAAGTCTTCATTATCCTCCTCAACCCCGTATTACGTGAGGGATACATCACGTGTGAATGATTTTGAGGGGTCGTATACATTAGACACAATGGTTCAGTGTAGTCCTGATCTTGATCCAGCAAATTGTGGCGTCTGCTTGAGACTTGCGGTCCAAGGAAGCTCAGAATGTTGCTACAATGCTCGTTGGACTCACATCTTTCTTCCCAAATGTTTTCTGAAGTATAACACCACCGGTTTGCCACAGAGCGATTCATCTTCTATCAACGTTGTCAAAGGTGAGCATAATAATACTATATGGTCTCGATTGTTTTACATTTACGTTTTCAGGTTAAGATAGTTTTGTTCTTTTTAGATGAAACCACGACTTTTGATGTTTTAATCATTTGTTAAAAGAGAAACCTTAACAGAAGAAGAAACTCATTATAAAATCCAACTATCGAGAGGATAAAAACGAAAATATTAAGCATCTAAATATATATATTTTTTTTTTTGGTGTGCAACCATCTAAATCATTAATATGTTTTTTTTTGTTTTTAAACAAAATCATTAATATGTTTGGCTTGTTTTAATTTGTATTGCAGGAAAGGAAATATTTAGGAGAATTTTCATTACAGCCATGACAACTTCGGTGTTGGCACTTGTGAGGTTATGATCGACTCCAATATTAACTATGAAGATTGGCTTATATTTTCTAAAAAAAAGAGACTGGTTTATATTTGTATTCCACGAATGTGTGTGACAATTGGTGTGTTATTTTCTGTCTAAAAAAAAACCAATTCCCCGAATATGTGTATGTAATTTACTATGTTTTCTTTTTGTCACTATTTTACTATTAATACATGTCTCTTCTTTAAACCAAAAAGAAAAGAAAAATCTGCTTACCTAATGAAAAAGTAGCATTTTTTTGTCAATCACAAATAGAAATACTAGCACATATTCAATCTGACTAACAAATTAAAACATCAACGGCTAATAGTAAAAAAACTATAGAAATAAAAAAAAGTGAAAATTACAAAAAATACCATTTTTCCAAAATACTTTCTCAATCTGCCATTTTCTGATTTCTTTCTAAAATTGTCACAAATTGAAATTGCCTTTTAAAAAAACGACAAATTTGCCTTCTTTAAAA